CGGGGGGGCGGGCAGAGATGGAGACACAGGCCAGGCAGGAGGCTTGTAGGAAATGAGGACTTCTCACAGTGCCCTCTTCCGCGAGGTCACTCCATAGGGCAGATAGTACTGCCCCTGGATGCAGGGTGACCAGCCTGCTGCCCCCTACTGCCCCAGTGATACCTCCCTGGGCCCTGGGCCTCTGTTCTGAATCAAGCTCCCCCAAATCAACAAATGTACCCCACATTGCCCTGTAAACAGGAGCTGGCCAAGGATGCCCTGAGCTCAGCCTCAGAGGGAGCCAGTAGAGGTAGAGGGTCTCCCTGTGTGAGCTCAGGCTAACCCCTGCCCACTCCAGACTTCAGTGTCCTGTCTCCCAAAATGAACTGGAGCAAGTCTTTGGCAAAGGGCCTATGGCCCTGGAGGGGGCTGTGAGGTAAGGAGGCAGAACCAAGATAAGGGGGCCATGGTTGCCTTACTGCCCTCCCAGCCCTCCCCCAGACACACGCAGCCACAGTAGAAGTGGAGGCAGATTTATTGTGAGTGGGGTGAACGAGTGCTGCAGATGGCAGCCATCCCAGCCTGACCCAGAACTGCAGCCTGAGGGCTTGCCCTGGCGTTTCACCCACTGGGATGGGCAGGCTGGAGCCAAGGGAGGTCAGAGGCTCTGCTCTGGAAGAGAGATGGGAGAGTCAAGAAGGCTGAGGGGAGCAGGACCAGCTCCCCAGGTCACCACTATCACAGTCCCTGACAGAGGCTCTGGACAGGGCCTGGGTGGTGGAGGTCCAAGGGGCCAGGAACAGTGACTGTGAGCCTGCCTGCACCCCACCCTGAGGTTCATAGAAAGGAGCGCAGGTGTGCAAGGCTCAGCCAAAGAAGCCTGGGTATGGTATTGGCAGGGGGGCTGCTGAAACGAAAGATTCCCAAAAGGGGGTTAGGTACCCAGTGGGGACCTATCACATGCTAAGGAGCTGATGGGGAAGTGAGGTGAGCCATTGGGGGAGGGGGTGATCTATGCCGACAGAGTTGGGAGGGAATGGAAGGTTAAAGTACTGAACCTAGAAGTGCCCAACCTCCTGGGCCTTGGGGAGCTGGTGCGTCCTGGTGCAGGTGGGGTGCCCCTCCTCTCACCTGAGCATGTATGTTTGTTCTGGTGGAGGGTGTAGCCGGCTTGACAGGAGCAGTAGTAGCCACCCAGGTAGTTGTGACAGTGGTGGTCACAAGGGGATGGGTCTCCCAGGGACACTTGGCACTCATCCACATCTAGGGGACAAGGGGACCAGGCCATGAGGGAAGGAAATGGGACAGAGGCCAGGCCTTGGTGGCCCACTTGAGAGACCTACTACTGAGCAATTCACAGGCAAGTCATAGGTTAAGGGTCCTGCTCAAGGAGGCCCAACTAGTAGAGGGTAACAGGGTACATGAGGTTCCATGGACCCCAGCCAGCAGCCTTCTGATGGTCCCTGCAAAGGCCAGAGTACAAAGTCAAGTGGGAGACTTCAAGCCATTATGCCCTCAGCTTGTGCAACCCGGGTACCACCGCCTCAGCCTTCACTTTCTACCTGACATCCTTCTGGGCTGGTGTAGCGTCACATCACTAGCAGTGACCTGACTCTTGTGTCACTGGTCTTTGCATGGTAGATGTCAGGCCACAGCAGGACTCACCTCCTGCTGTTTTGACCTGAATCCAGCCCCAGGAGAAGTAGAGGCAAGAGACTGAAGCTGGGGACAGGGCTAGGACAAGACAGACACCCAGCTGCAACCTGGACAGCCTGGGCCCCACCTCTGCTCACCCTCTGCTGCATAGAAGGCCTCAAAGCCAGTGAACGGCTTCTCATTGGAATAGTCGGAATGGAAGAAGACTTCCAGGCCGGGCCCCAGCGAGTAGAAGGTGTCGTTCCCAGGCGCCCGCTCAGTATCTGTGCTCTCCTGCCCACACAGTGTGGCCAGAACCTTGGTCCCGGAGCTCAACTGTGGGTTAGGGTTAGGGGGTCATAGGGAGGAAAGGCAATAGCCAGGCCAGCCCTCCCTCCTGGCCAGATCCTACCCAGTCCCTGGGGACTACCCTAGCCCTTAAGAGAACCCCCCCCAGCCATGCACCCCCACAAGCACCTTGAGGAAGTCATACTCGCAGCGATAGGAGAGCTCCAGGTTGAAGTGGGTAAAGTAGAGGCGCAGGCGGTAGCCTGGGGGTGCAGTCAGCGTCCAGCGCCGATCCTGGTTGTTGGCATACTCCCCTGGAAAGCCAGGGGATGCCAGGCGCCCAAACACAGGCTCAGGCCACTTTGGACTCAAGGGTGTGGCCACTGAGACCCACAGCAGGCCCAGGAAGATCAGCAGCCTGTGGACAGGGGAGGGTAGTGAGGGCCCAGGCCTTCCCCTCCTGCTCCCAGGGAAGCCATGGGGCACCCACCCACCTCATGGTGTGCCACCCAGCTCTGCAGGCCCAGCTCGCCTCACCTTTGATCTGTTTGTTCAACAACTGGCCCTGCCCCCAGCCTCCCTGACCCCAGGATTCTGGGAATCCACCCCATGGGTCCTACTGCCTCATGTCCAGGCAGGAAGGCTTGGTGGTTCCAGGAGCCAGGAGCTGAGCCTGGGTCACATAGCCTGGCAGCAAACCCTGGCTGTGCCCTCAGGCTAGCCTTAGTGCTTATTCCCTGGTGGGACCAGCAAAACCATGTGGGCCTGAGTCTCCATGACAGCATGTGTAGAGATGGAGGAACAGATCCTTCTGCTCCCTCCAACCCCTGGATGAGGTAGAGAGAGGAATTTGGGAAAACACATGAATGTAGGAGAGAGGACATGGGACAGGAGATGCCACTGCATCCTGGAACCTGAAAGGTGAGGTGGAAGGGGAAGGAAATGTCCTAGAGGTGCAGCAGAATCAGCAATCTGAGGCTTCTGGTCCTGATACTGGTTGGGAGGGATTTATTTATTTATTTATTTATTTATTTATTTGAAGACAGGGTCTCTCTATGTAGCCCTGGCTGGCCTAGAACTCACTATGTAGATCAGGCTGGCCCCAAGCTTTTAGTGATCTTCCTGCCTCTGGCTCCTGAGTACTGAATGGAAGGAACTTTCATCCCAGTGATTAGAGAAATAAAACTCAAGACATGTATATACTGGCCATAGTATTTGGAAGGCTAAGGTAAGAGGATTGATAGAAATATCCAAGCCAGCCTGAGCCACACAGCAACACCCTGTTAAACAAAACAAAACAGGAGGCTGAACAATTGGCCCAGCTGCTAAGGCACTTGACTGCTCTGGCTGAGGACATAGGTTCAGTTGCCAGCACCAACCATGGGTGCACTTATATACATGCAGGCAAAACACACATAAAATAAAATAAAATTTAAAACAAAAACAAAGCCAGGCATGGTGGCCCATACCTTTAGTTCCAGCAGTCCAGAGGCAGAGGCAGGTGGATCTCTGTGAGTTAAAGGCCAGCCTGATTTACATAGCAAGTTCCAGGCCAGCTGAAGCTACAGGGAGACCCTAAAATAACAAAAACAAAACCCAGCTGGAGAGATGGTTCTGCGATTAAGAGCTCTTGCTATTCTCGCAAAGTGCCCACGTTCAGTTCCCAGCACCCACATGACATTTCACAGCTTTCTGTAACTCCAGTTCCAGGGAATCTGATTCATTTTTCTGACCCCGGGCACCAGGTATGCACACGTACATACACTCAGGCAAAACATATGTACATAGAAAAATACACTTTAAAAACAAAACCACCAATCAAACACAAGAAAAATTGTGTTTTTAATTAATTATGAGAATTAACTCTCAGGCAAAAGTCATTTCAAAGGGAAAGAGAATACCAGGCATGGTGGTGAATACCTTTAAGCCCAGCATTCAGGAGGGAGACAGAGGCAGGTGAATCTCTGTCAGATGGAGGCCAGCCTAATCTACATTAGGCCAGCCATGGCTACATAGTGAGACCTTGTCTAAAAAAGAAAGAAAAGGGGAGGGGGGCTGGAGAGATGGCTCAGCAGTTAAGAATACTGGTTGTTCTTGCAGGGAAGACCTGGGTTTGAATCCCAGCACCCACATGGTGTTTAACAACCGTCCATAACTCCAGTTCCAGAGGAATCCAATGCTCTTTTCTGACCTCTGCAGGCATTGCATGACATGGGTGCACTTACATAGATGCAGGCCATACACTCATACACATGAAATGAAAATAAATAAAAACAAATTTTTTTGGTCTTTTTGAGACAGGGTCTCCCTGTAGACCCAGCTGTCCTGGAACTCACTATGTAGACCAGGCTGGCCTTGAACTCACAGAGATCTACCTGCCTCTGCCTCCTGAGTGCTGAGATTAAAGGCGTGCACCACCACGCCCAGTATAAAAATTAAAAAAAAAGAAAAGAAAAGAGGAAGAGGAGGGAAGGGGGGGGAGTTTGAAGGTGGAGGCTAACCTAGAAAGAAAAAAATAGTAGATGAAAAGGGACAGCATTGATTGTAGACCCAGGCAACTCCCTGCAAAGAAAAGATCAAGCCTTGGATTGGGCTGTTGGAGGGTTCTGGGGTCTGGTCATCTTTGTAATCAAAAGGAGGGCATTTTTAGTACATTTTTATTTATTGGTGTGTGTCTATATGAGTGTATGCATATGTGTGTGCAGGTGCCTTTGGAAGGCAGAAAAGGGCACTAGATTCCTTGAAGCTGGAGTCATAGTTGTGAGCTGCCATGTGGGTGCTGGGAACTGAACTTGAGTCCTCTGTAGGAGCAGCAAGTGCTCTTAACCACAGAGCCGTCTCTCCAGCTCCAAGGATGGCATGTCTTTTTCATGTTACCACATTGTTAGAGTCAGAGCCTGAGCCTTGGCAGCCCCAACAAGCTAGGCTCGGCCACCTGTCCTCCACAGGCAGCAGAGAAAGGAGATTTATTCACTGTGGCCACATTGGGAAGAAGAACAAATAAAGAGGCCTAGCGATTCCCCAAGTCCATCTCTGTGGTCCTGACATGAAGTTTAGGTTCAAATAGCGGGCAAGAGGTGCATGCATAGCTAAGTAGTCCCGGTCAAGGTGCGGCCCCGCCACCATCTCCGTCTGAGAGGTTATATGAGTGGTGTGAAATGTCTTCCTGGGAGACAAGCTCCTCTTCTGGCTGGCACCAGGGTTCAGCCTTTGCCTCCCCAGCATGAGCTTCCCGAGGAAATCCCAGTCCCTTGGGGTCCACTATTCTAATAGTTGAGCTGTCTCTCTTGAGAATATCTTCTCTCCTGCCAAGGCAGTTCAGGAGCATCTCCCAAGTGCAACACAGCCCTGTATCCAGTTTGTCCTTGAACATCTTGCTGTTAACTCGCCCTCTTGGTGGGTTTTTTGCTCTATGATAAGAAGATAGGGGGATGGCACATTTCAAACATTATCAGGGCAAGAGAGCGACTCTTGGTGGGTAACAGGTTATGGAGTAAGAACATAAAAGCCTATTGCCCTTTGTTCCCATGAGGGTCCCTTCAGTCCTTAAGAGGGGGACTTGTTAGGAAGAAGGGGTTCAGTGAGAGGGGAAGAGCACAAGACAGGATATCGGAGGTATATGATGAAAGTACATTATATATCTATATATGTCATAAAAGAATACTTTTATTTTTTGGTTTTTTATAAGTATTCTTTTTTAAATTTTATTATTTTTATGTGTATTCGTATTCGTGTATTGCCTGCATGTAGGTAACTGCACCCGTGTTGTGCAATGCCTGCGGAAGAGAGAAAAGGCTCTTGGATCCCCTGGAACTGGAGTTACAGACAGTTGTTAGCTGCCATGTGGGTGCTGGGATCTGAACCCGGGTCTTCTGGAAGAACAGTCAGTGTTCTTAACCACTGAGCCATCTCTCCAGCCCCTATTTTTTTTTTTTGAGACAGGGTCTCTTTGTAGCCCCAGCTGGCCTGGAACTCACAGAGATCTGCCAATCCCTGCCTCCAGAGTGCTGGGATCAAAGGCCTATGCCCAGCTATTTTATTTTTATTAAAAAAATTTTGTGCTGGGTGTGGTGACACATGCCTTTAATCCCAGCACTTGGGAGGCAGAGGCAGATGGATCTCTGAGAAACTGAGGTCAGCCTGGTCTACACAGTGAGTTCCTGGGGCTTCAGGAGACCATGTCTCAAAAAATTAAGGAATAAATAAAAAATGAAAAATTTTGTTATTAACAGGGATGGGGGCATGCTTGCCATGCAAGCCCATGGGGATCGGAGAACAACTTTGTGGATTCTGTTCTCTGTTTCCACTTTTATGCACAAGTCCGAAGACAACTTTCAGGAATCGGTTCTCTCCTTTCACTGTATAGGTCCTGGGATTGAACTCAGGTTTTCATGCTTGGTGGCAAGCACCTTTATCTACTGAGTAATCTCACCAGCTGGTTAATTTTTGTCAACTTGATACAAACTAGAATCACCGAGGAAGGGAGAAACTTAATTGAATAATTTCCTCCATCAGAGATAGACCTGTGAGATAGACCTGAGAGATCTGCCTGCCTCTGCCTCCCAAGTGCTGGGATTAAAGATGTGCACCACCATGCCTGGCTTTTTTTTTTTTAATTTTTAAAAAATATTTTATTTCGCTGGGCTTGGTAGCACATGCCTTTAATCCCAGCACTCGGGAGGCAGGCAGAGCTTGGTGAGTTTGAGGCCAGCCTGGTCTCCATAGCGAATGCAGGCCAGCTGCAGCTACAGGGAGACCTTGTCTCAAAATAAAAAAAAAAAAAAAAAAAAAAAAAAAAAAAAAAACCCAAAACAAACAAAATTTTTATTTAAGCTGGCCGTGGTGGCACACACACCTTTAATCTCAACACTCAGGAGTCAGAGGCAGGTGGATCTCTCTGAGTTCAAGGCCAGTCTGGTCCACAGAGAGAATTCCAGGCCAGCTTGGGGCTATAGGGAGACACTGTCTCAAAAAAAGACCAAAAAATGTTTTTATTTATTATTATTTATTTTTCTTCTTGTTCAAAACAGCACAGGCCGAGGAACAGGGGTTCCAGAGAGATAAAGTTGGGGTGGGGCTATAGAAACAAAATAATGCAAGAATTTGCCCAGATGCTTAGCATGATATGATTCAGTGTCCTGCAGAGGGGAGGCTGGACTCGGTGGAGAGTGCTTGCCCAGCATGGTGAGGGCCTGCATCTGATACCACAGAATAATGAAATGTCCACGAACTTCCCAGAGAAAGATGAAAATATACCCACACAGAGCGCTGGAGAGAACAGGGGAGCAGGGATAGGAAGAGTTCCTTTGAAGTTTGGAAAGAATCAGAAATGGGAAGGGTGTGGTAGCCAGCCTCCAGGATGGCCTGAAGGTTGCCAGTTTGGGGGCGTCCTGTCCTCCAGTAGACTTGCTGTGTGGCTTGGCCAGAAAATACTTAGCAGCCTCCACCTTGAATTGGCTCAGCAAACTTCCCTAAGGTACTCCATTTTGTTCAGAGCCATTTCAGCAGCAACTTTGCTCCGCACCA